GGGGCCTCCGAGGCTCCTCTGGCCTCTCTGAGCTCCTTTCAGGTCTCAGTGTCTTGTTCCCCCCTCAGTGCCCTGTGTTTACAGAGGGGGTGACAGTGAGCCAGGGTCTAACTGTAATTGTGTTACTTAACACACTGATGTCACATCCACACAGGCTGACAGCATTTAAGTCATTACATGTTAACTGTTTAGAGTTGAGACAATTTACCTCACATTGTTTTCTTAAACCTTTTCAATGTTGCCAAATACTCAGGTGAAAAATTGCTTTTTACTTTAAATTTATCCTTCTTTGATTTCTAAGGTTCTTGAACATTTTTCACGTACATGTTGGCTAATGGCTGTTCCTGCTCTAGGAATGGCCTATTGTCCGTCATCCCTGGGGTCCGGGCCTTTTTCTCAGTGATTTTCCGGGTTCTCTAGGCAGCAAGAGGGACACTTTGCTAACATGGATTCAGCATTTTCTCCAGTTCCTGCCTTGTGTTTTCATTCTGTTTTATTATTTTCCATGTTAGGAATTTAAACATCTTTAATGTAATGAAATGTACTGGAAAGTTATTAGCAATAATTTAAAAATATATATATATATATATTTTATTGATTTCAGAGAGAAAGAAAGAGAGAGAGAGAGATGGAAACATCAATGATGAGAGAGAACCATTGATCAACTGCCCCCTGCACACCCCACACTGGGGATCGAGCTGCAACCTGGGCATGTGCCCTGACTGGAATTCGAATCATGACCTCCTGGTTCATAGGGTGACACTCAACCATTGAGCCACACAGGCTAGGCTCCTAGCAATGATTTACCATCAATCTTAAATCTACTTTTTTAGGGTAAAATAAAAATGTTTTCCCAGGTTCTTCCTCTCTTTCCTGCAACTCCTTCAACTCCTCCAACTCCTCCCCTCCTCCTCCTCCTTCTCTCCTCTCATTGGATTTATTGAGCCTGGTCTCAGGCAGGAAGCACACATGTTAATGAGTCCCGGACTCTGCCCTGAGCTCAAATGTCAGCTTGAAAAGAGAGACAATTATAAAATGACAGGAATTCCAATAACAGGTCGGCTTCTTTTGAGAAGGAGCGGGTTGCTCAGTGCATGTCACTGTGAGTGTTATAATGAGTGCTGCCCTGCTCCTCCCTCTCCCTCAGGACTCAGCCCCTGGAGCTAGGGAATCCCCCATCTTTACTGCTTCCAGGGGGACCATCTCTGTGTTCTCAGGTGTGATCACATTCCCAGGACTTCACACCCTGAGTCCCATCTCCCCAAGCTGTTCCCCAGTTTCTCCATCTGCTTTCCTTGTATTCTCTCTCCATATGTGATAAACAGCTGACATACAGTGATGGCTACGTTCCAGTCGCTGTTGTACATGTTTCAGGCCCATTGGTCCTCATATGTCCTTAAGCGGTGAGTTAGCATTATCACCCGCTTTGCAGGTGAGGAGCTGAGCAGAGAGGGTCTCCCAGGATCACCCAGTAAGAGGCACAGCCTGGATGTGACCAGGCAGCCCTGCCCCAGAAATCACACTGGAACTCACACACTCTGTGCCTCCCAAAGATTTGTAAACACTTCCTTCAACAATGAGTAACTGTTTCAAGATATGAAAAATACCCCATATTTCCTCAATGTCTCTCAAATTCAGTGGCCTGGGCTTAGGCAGAGATTCAAGGCCCATGGCATTACCTGCTGCTGGGCCACAGGGTGGATTTGAGGGGGGCCTGCCCGGGCCTGGAGCCTGGGACTGGAGATAAGGCCGAAGGGGGGCAACCAAGGGCCTGCCTGTCCTGCTCACGTCTCCCTCCGCCTTCTCTGTCCCAGCTGAGCCCACAGTGACCGTGTATCCTGCAAAGACCCAGCGCCTGCAGCACCACAACCTCCTGGTCTGCTCCGTGAACGCTTCTATCCGGGCCACATTGAGGTCCGCTGGCTGCGCAACGGCCAGGAAGAGGAGGCCGGGGTGGTGTCCACGGGCCTGATCCGAAACGGGGACTGGACCTTCCAGACCATGGTGATGCTGGAGACAGTTCCCCGGAGCGGGGAGGTCTACACCTGCCAAGTGCAGCACCCCAGCAGGACCAGCCCTGTCACCGTGGAATGGAGTGAGATGCCTTCTAACCTCACTACCCCCCCCCCCGCCGCCACAGGGGGCTTTGCTTGTCCCTGAGCGTCAAGGTCCCCTCTCCCCACACCCCGTTTTCCATTGTTCGTGTCTCTCCTTCAACACAGGCCGCAGGGTAGCCCTGTGATCACTTCTGTGAACACCCACAGCCTTGGGAGGCCGACATGCCTGCCCTGCTTTGAATTCCCCACACTCTCCCCTCATGGTGCCCCTTGGACCTGGGCACCGTCCCCTGTCGGGCTGGGCTGGTTCTTCTCCCTGCACTGAGCTGCCCACTGTGATCTGGGAAGAGGCGTGTCCTCCACAGCGTGGGGACCTTCCTGCCGCGGGAGAGCCCCATCTGCTCTGCCTTCTGCGGCTCTGTCACCCGGGCCAAGTCCTGGAGGTCACGAGTCCCGGGCTCCGCAGCCTCAGAGGCCGAAGCAGTGGCCTTGGGTCTGGGGTGAGGGGAGCTGAGGCCAGTGCCTGGGCCTTGTACCTGCTCAGTGTGACCTCAGTCTCTTTCCCGGAAATGGCTATTGTTCTGATTCTTCTAGGGCAGCTTCCCCAGTCGCCAACCCCACCCCACCCCCAAGCTCTCAATCCCAGGGTCTCCATTAGAGAAGTTGGTTTGGGCAAAAACCCACTGAAACCAGCTTCTTCTCTCAGGGGCCCAGTCTGGATCCGCACAGAGCAAGGTGCTGAGTGGAGCCGGGGGCTTCGTGCTGGGGCTGCTCTTCCTCGGGGCGGGGCTGCTCATCTACTTCAGGGCTCAGAAAGGTAAGGCACCTGCTGGCAGCCGTGGCCCCGAGACAGTGGGGAGAACTGGGGCTTTGCTGGGTGAGCTCTGGGTATGGCAACACCATAGAAGCCTCTCTTTCCCTGAGGATCTCATGTTCCCTGGAAATGCAGAAATAACCAGCTCCCGGTTCTTAGGGTGAAGACATAAGGAATTATGACTGGGAGATTAGAGAGGGGTTAACATGCACGGGGATTTAGGTGCAGATCCTGGGGCACATGGAGGAGCAGGCCCTGTGGTCACTAACCACTGCTCTCAGCTTCTGCTCTCATCCCTGCTCTGGTGTCAGCGGGTGGGGGTGCTGCTAGAGAAGCTCAGGTGGCCTGGGCAGGGGACCCTGTGTTTGGGGACACATTTACCTTCATATCTTTTAAGTGGCATCTTCCTTCTCTTCCCAGGACACTCTGGACTTCAGCCCACAGGTAACGCTCTCTAATCCTCTCTTAGGGACACATTGGGTTTCCCTAGAACAGAAGGTGCAGGGGACGAGCCAGGGGACAGATAGCGGGGAGCCTGGGTGTGGTTCTGGCCGCTTACACTGCAGGGTCTCCTCCCGCCTGGTGAGAGGCAGCTCTAAAGCAGCTGTGGCTCCTGTGGCCTCAGAGCTTTTCTTCTCACTTGGGAGCCACAGCAGGAGGCCTGGGAGGGCAGCGCCCCTGCTGGCTGGGCCTGGGAACAGCACTGTCCTCTGTCTGCAGGACTCCTGAGCTGAGGTGGCCATGGTGACAGGGGCAGGAGAGACCTTCTGTCCAGCTCCTTTGCAGCCTGAAGAGGTTTCCTGCTGGACTCTCACTCCACAAGGAGAGCCGCCTCAGGCTCTGGCTGGGTCCTGGCTCCTGACCCCCAAGCTGCTCCTCCCTGCTGGTTCCTGCCCGCCCTGGACCTGGAGGCCCCAGTGTTGACTGCAGACCCTCAGCTCCATCCCTCCCTGTCCCTGTGTGTTCAACCCTAGCTGTCTGCTGAGCACCTTAGATCACCTCTGCCCTCATTTCTTTACAAAATGTTCCTCTATTAAATATGGAGTGAAATCATCTGCCTCATATGGATTCAAGGACAGGAAGTAGAAAGAAAAGAGAGAGGATCTCACCACAACACAACAATAATTTTCACTTATTTCCTGAATCTGGTCATGTGGGCATCTGGAAGGTTTCCTTGTTAACGTTCTGCTTTTTCATGAGTTTTCCCTCCTGGAATCGGCCTGGTTCCTGAGCCAGGAGAGAGCCTGCCATGGACCCATTCACGGTGGTCTCCTACGTCGGTGCTTCTCTAAGACAAGCACACAGGTTCCTTTCCCCTGAGCTACAGAGAGGAGACAGCAAGTGTAAGAAATGCAGGACACTTGTAAGGATGCCATGCCTTTATAGTTTCTTTAAAAACACACACACTTTTATTGATTTCAGAGAGGAAGGGAAAGGGAGGGAGAGATAGGAGAGAGAATCATTGATTGGCTGCTTCCTGCATGACCCCTACTGGGTATCGAGCCCACAACCATGGGCATGTGCCCTGACAGGGAATCAAACCCTGACCTCCTGGTCCAGGGGTCCTCAAACTACGACCCGCAGGCCACATGAAAATACAAATATTGTATTTGTTCCCATTTTGTTTTTTTACTTCAAAATAAGATATGTGCAGTGCGCATAGGAATTTGTTCATAGTTTTTTTAAAACTATAGTTCGGCCCTCCAACGGTCTGAGGGACAGTGAACTGGCCCCCTGTTTAAAAAGTTTGAGGACCCCTGTCCTGGTCCATGTCAACCACTGAGCCACACCAGCTGAGCCACAGTTTCTATAATCCTGTTCTTTTCTCTGATTTTTTAAAAGAAGTTACCTAAACCCGGTACCTCTTGAAGTCTCCTTTTACGGTATTAGTCTATTGATGGCTTCTATACCTCAGTCTTTTTGTGTCTCAGATAAATGCCTGCTGTGCTGACTCTGCCTTGAGATGCACCTTCCCCATGAGCAGGTCCCGGAGGCCATCAGGACAGAGCTGCCACTCTAGTGGGAAAGGTGCGCTTCTGAGGCCTCCAGCTTGTGTGGCAAACTCACTGTCTGTCACAGGAAACCCTGTGTGGACCTTATCTGAGCATCAACCAGGGCCCCTGCTGGGCACCCAGGGGAGCATGTGAATCCCTGCTCTGCCACCAGCCTGCGATCCTCTGCCCTGGAGGGAACTTGAGAGACTCCTGTGGGGTGGCCTCCCAATGCGTGTGAGCACAGAGCAGCAGAATTTGCACAGTACACACGTACGTCTTAAATAAAATAGAGGAGAATAGGAATACAGAGATATACCTATCATCTCTATATTTATAAACAGAAACAATAGAGAATTTTAAAAAGTGATTGCCTGTGGGGTTAGATGAGGGCTGATGGGGGCAAGGATAAAACCTAGACTTTTGTTAACATATTTAATAATTTTATCTTGAGAAACATTAAAATATATATAACTAGAGGCCTGATGCACAAAATTTGTGCAAGAGTAGGCCTTCCTTGCCCCGGCTGCCGGCACTGGCTTCCCTCTGGCACCTGGGACCCAGGCTTCCCTCACAGCCCCAGCTTCGTCCAGAAGGTCTTCCAGAAGGACATCCAGTCTAATTAGCATATTACACTTTTATTATTATTGATAGAAAGTTTAAATCAAAAGTTTTCAAAGATTACATAAAAATGGTAAGCAACCTCACAATTGAAATAAACTTGACAAAAATATACAATTAAAAATCAAAACTTTTTGATCCTTGCATAAAACATTGTGAAACTATAACTGTAAACCAGTAGATAGTTCTACATTCCATCAACTTTAATAAAATAAAGGAGTTGGACAGGTTTCAGGGAAAGGCACCCGATGTGGCTAGAAGATGGTGGGTTCTGCTCATGTGTTTCACCTGAATAGTCAGTTTCAGTGTGAATCTAAAATCTAAAGAGTAATAACTGAGATGTATATTTTAATTTCTCTACTGCAGAGATAGTTATTTCATTTTCAAGCACATTTAAAGATTATGCCTATTTTAATTACATTGAGTATTAGTTGTGTGAAACAGGTTACCATTGTGCTGGAATTTAATAAGCTGATAGTAACATGGGCAATGTATGCAGTTGAGATAAATTCTATTTAAACCCAGGCTTCAACTTTACTCTCGCTTTGATCTCAGATGAAGTGAGCTGTCTCATTTTATTTTAGAGCTGGGCTGTGAAATTATAAGGTAGAACAGAAGTATATTTTGATGAAGATGCTTTCTGCCCTTAGTAGAAAATCCACCCTCATTTGTTTTATTTTATTTTTATTTTTAAATATATTTTATTGATTTTTTACAGAGAAGAAGGGAGAGGGATAGAGAGTTAGAAACATCGATGAGAGAGAAACATCGATTAGCTGCCTCCTGCACGTCCCCCAGTGAAGATGTGCCCGCAACCAAGGTACATGCCCTTGACCGGAATTGAACCTGGGACCCTTGAGTCCGCAGGTCGATGCTCTATCACTGAGCCAAACCGGTTCCGCTGTTTTATTTTTCTTACACTTATTATTGTACGTGGAAGGTAGAGAGCCCGGGTGGGGCATCTCCAGAGGTGGTCAGCTCCTGAGGCCAGTGGCATCGCCAGTGAACCTGGACTTGGCATCTCACCCCTCTATCGGCCGTCAGCTCCCTTGAGACGGCAGGAGGCCTGAGGCAGCTGTAGGCCTCGTACTCTCTCACAACAACTTCCAAAGGCAGGAAAACAGAGCGGTTACCTAATGTGCTTTTATAAGGAGTAAACTTTCCCAGAGTGCCCCTCCCCGTGCACCTACTTCCCACACATGAGGAGGACCCTGGGATTACAGCCATAGACTCGCCCTTTGTGGGCATGTGAGGAAAAGGAGCAAAACCATAATTTTTAGAAAGAAAGAAATGGTATATGAGGTAAGGAGGAATGGTTTTAGGGTACAGAAACTATAGCTTCTGCACTTTCAGATTGCTTGCAGTTTAAATTATTTCCTCAGAAATGATGATAGATTCTTAATGGACAGCATCAATTCAAGGTTATGAGTTTTTTTTTTTTTTTAAAAAAACATTGAGTACTAAATCTCAGCCATATACCTAATTATGAAAAAGAAACATATAAACAAGCAAGAGGATTAATTTGTTTTTAGAACTTATTAGGCTGATACTTAATTTAATGAGAAAAAAAATATTCCATGGAAAATTTTGAAAAAAGACAGAAATAATAACTAGGTTTACAAGATGCTAAAACCTGTTATACATTTATTTTGATAAACACTTTTTGCATTGATTAATTATTAGTTAAATACACCAGTAAACAGAGGCCTGAATTAGATCCTGGAGGTTTAGTTTAAGGTAGAGAGATTCAAGTTTTTGGTAAGGTGAATTCCAAACTCAGTCCTTTCAACAGAATGGATCCCTGATGAATAAAAATCCAAACACAAAAAGAAAGTAAAATAATTAAAAAAGGGCAATTGTTTCCATTACTATCATCATCATTGTTATAATTATGTTTGAGGATAAAAACTGATGGGAGTGTATAATAGCATAACTACATCAGAAAATACTTGGGCAATTTCTTAAAAAGTTAAACACACATTTACCATATGACCCAGTAACTCCTTTTCTTGAAATCTATCCAAGAGAAATGAAAGCATGTATACTTACAAATATATGTGTGCAAATGTTCTTAGCAGCCTTAGTTCTAATAGCCATGAACTGGAAAAAATCTAAATATCCATTAGTTAGTGAATGGATGAAAAAAATGTGCTATCCTATATAATAAAAGGGTAATATGCAAATCGACCAAATGGCAATGACCGGTTGCTATGACACACACTGAGCAGCCAGGCAGGCAAGCGGTTAGGGGTGATCAGGCAGGCAGGCAGGCAGGCAGGCGATCAGTTAGTAGCAGGCAGGCAGGCCAGCGGTTAGGAGCCAGCAGTCCCAGATTGTGAGAGGATGTCTGACTGCCAGTTTAGGGCCAATCCCTTGGCTTAAAACAGCAGTCAGACATCCCCCGAACGGTCCCAGATTGCAAGATTGTGCAGGCCGGGCAGAGGGACCCCCTCACCCCCTGCATAAATTTTGTGCACTGGGCCTCTAGTATCCATATAATGAAACACCACTTAGCAATAAAAAAGAACAACTAAAAAAGATAAAGAGAAAATGATGATACTTGCTACAAAATTGCTGAACTTTGAAAACATTATAATGAGATAGGCCAGGGGAAACTGAGACAAATAGCTGAACAAACTGGCACAGCATTTTACAGCAGATGCAGAAGGTCACCTCCCTAGAGATAACCTCTAGGCCTCAGTTGTATTTCAGCTCCACACCCAGAAAAGCAGCAAAACCAGGTGGGTGGCCCCAGGACCAACACCAAAGCCTGAGGACCAATCAGTGAAGACCACAACCATGAAGGAGCACACCTAGAAGAAACCCTCCCCGAGACCTCCCCTAAGATTCCTGCCTGCAAGAGAGATAAAGCCTGAAGATCAAGGACCTGCCCACTTGGTCCTTCCCAGGAGCGTGTCTGAGCCACCCCCTCTCCTACTTTCCCCACAGACAAGCACCCCTAAACTCTAAGGGACCCCACGAGGCTTGTAACCAGAGCAGCAATGGGCAGCAGTGTCTGTCCCAGACAAATACCCTGAACCTGTCCTCACAATCCCCTTTTCTCAGACTTCTTCTTTTTTTTTTTACTTTTTATATTGATTTCAGAGAGAGGAAGGGAGAGTGAGAGAGGGATAGAAACATCAATGATGAGAGAGAATCAGTGATCGGCTGCCTCCTGCACACCTACTTCTAGGGATGGAGCCGGCAATCCAGGCATGTGCCCTGATAGGAATGGAACCGTGACTTCCTGACTCATGGGTGAATGCTCAACCTCTGAGCCACACCAGCTGGGCTCTCTGAATGCGTAGTGAGCCAAAGCAGACCAGCTTGGGCTCATGTCCCAGCCCTCTTCTGTTTCACTGTCCCCAGCTTTCATAAACATCCTCTAAAATTCACCCCGACTTCTGTAGTGAGATTTTTTCTATATGATGTCAAGAACCC